AAATTTCTATTTTAATAGTACTTTAGTTTTATTTTAACTAAAATACCCTATAAGGGGCTTATTATAGTATAAACTAATTAAATACTATTTTAATTACTTAGTATTAGGTATAAATAGCTTATCTTTAAAGTATAATAAGTTTTCTTAGTTAATAGCCTAATACTTTTATCTAGAGAGATCTTTATATATAGTAGTAGTTTAGTTAAGTACCTTAGGGTCCTTACTCTAGACTTAGCTAATTAACTCTTTTAGATTTTTTATAATATTAATTAAATAGATATTTTCATTATAAGTAGCTACTTTAATAAGAGTATAAGAGATTAATTAATTATTTATTAATCTCTTTAGATTATTCTAGTATATAATATCTTATTTAGATATATAATTTCTATAATTATAGAGCTTTAATAGTATATTACTTAGCTCTAGTTTATAGTCTACTTAATATAATATCCTTAGGGACTATATACTAATTATTTATTAATAGATTAGTATAATAATATTAGCATTCTTTAGCTATACTACTAGCTAACTATTATATTATCTTATAGGTATATCTACAGGGTTAGCCTTTCCCTTTTAATACTTAATAATAAAATTATATAATATTAATAAGATAAGCTAATAGGCTTATCTACTATTTAATTTTAGCTATTTTATAAATATTTATAAATTTATATAATTTAAAAGTACTTCTACTTAGTACACTACCCCTTTAATATATTAATACTAGTATTTAAAGAAGTAAATAATAATAAAGAGTTTCTTATCTAGTATAGCTTAATTAAGCTTAGCTCCTATAAACTTTCTTAACTAAAAGGTAACTAGATACTATCTTCTTTATTTATCTAGCTAAGAGAGTATACCAGCTATACCCTCTTTAGAGATATTAGTTTTAATTTAAATAGGTAAAGCTAGGTTAAAGTATTATAATAATAAAGCTATCTAGAATATATTAATAAGGTATTAAAAGGCTAACTTCTTAATAAATATAAATTTAATTAAGCCTAGCTTCTTACCTTCTTTTATATCCTTAAGTAAGCTAGTTAAGGGTAAGACTATTAAAGAGTAATTTTTAATAAATTTTTAGTAGAAGTTATAAAATCCTAGAAAAACTTAAATATTATAGTAACTATAGGGTTCCTCCTAGTTAATAATAACTTTAATATAAGTTATATCTATTAAAGTACTATTAGTAGATATAATATAATTAAGAAATTTAATATAATCTTAGTAAAAGATATATTTAGAAGCTTTAGTATATAGCTTTATTTTTTATAACCTTTATAAAACCTATTAAATATAGTAGGTATGTTCCTTTCTAGTTACTAAGAAGATAAGGATATTATCTAGATATATAATATAGAAGATATCTAAGATATTATATAGAGCTGTATTTATATAGTTTTAGAAGGTAGTAGAAGTATTAGTAAATCTAAAAGATATAACTATATATTTATAATAACTATAATAGCTCTAAAATATAGTCTTCTATTTATTACCTTCCTTAATATAGATATAATAATAGATATCTTAGATATTAATCTTACTAAAATATTTAGCTCTAGATAGCCTATTAAGAATTTCTAATATAAGAGGTAAGAGATACTAATTCTTATATATTACTTTATTAAGACCTTAGTAATCTATATATAGTCTAAGTCTACTATCTTTCTTTAAAATAAATAAGATAGAAGCTTTTACTAAACTTTTAGATAGCTAGATTCTTCTATAATTAAGGTTCTTATTAATATAACCCCTTAATTCTTATAACTCTAACTAAGAGAGTAGGTATATAGGGCTAAATAGTAGTATTTTACTAGATTTAAGTTTAATAGTATAATTCTAAGAGGAATAAGAGGATATAATCTTAGAATTCTCTAAAGAAAAGATATTAAGATACTTATATAATTTAGAAGATAATTCTTTAATCTTTAAATTAGAAAATCTCTACTCTTCTTCTTCTAGAAGTTATACTTACTTAGGTAATTTTATAATAGTAAATACTATTATATAATTCTAGTATATCTTTATAAACTTATATAGGGTTAGGATTAAATAAGTAAGAGTCTTAAACTACTACTAATAATTTTATAATAAAAGATAGATATAAAGATTATATAATATAATTATAAAAAGGAGAATAGGGCTTCCTTCTAATTATAGATTATAATTAATTATAATATATACTTATTTAAAGCTTCTTTTTATTCCTCTAGAATTATAGATAATAATAGGGACTTTCTAGACCCTATAAATAGAAGTAATAAAGTTATTAATAACTTTAATAATAGAAGCTATAAGTTTTGCTTATTATAGTTTCTAGGACTTTATAAAAGTAATACTAATAATATTAATCTTAGTATAACTATCTAGATCTATATATATTTTAAGACTATTTACTAAGCTTATTAAAATATAAAAATAGTAAGTTATCCCTACTTCTAGGTAGAAGATTAAAGATATAGATTTTACTCTAACCTCTTATTATTTTCTACTATAAATAGTTAAACTTTAGTAGTCTTTTTAGTATATTAATTTATTAAGTATTCTTTACTCCTATATTTATAGTACTTTAAAGGTTTACTATCTTTATTAAATTAGTTTTATTAAGGTTTTAATCTATTATTATTATTAAGATAAAAATATTTAGATAGGTTACTTTCTTAGGACTTTTCTTCCTAGGGTTTTCCTAATTCTTTCTTCTTTTATTTCTATCTCTATTAGAGTAAGGTCTAGTATTTAGATACTTATAATACTATTTTATCTCTAGTATTAGGTAGTGTATCCAGGTGCTCTTATATATAGATATATAACTCTATTATAAGATAACTAAAGAAGTTTAGTGCCTGTTACTTTTTAGAATATTAAGAAAAATACTATTCTAATATATCTAAATAGATATAAAATTCTTATAGATCTTTATTAGAGTATTAATTAGTATTACATAATTGCATAATTATCTTTAACTTGACAGTTATGGAATCCTGGATTAAGTTAATTATCTATTCTTAGAAGAACATCTCTGCCTATAGATTAATTCTATTTATAAGATTATAGTAATAATTTTGAATTTATTAGGTCTATACTTCTTTAGAGCTTCCTGAAATATATATTCTATATCCTAGATCCATTCCTCCCTCTTTTGGAAGGAATACTTTAAGGTAAAAGTAGGGAGATTCTTAAACTTAACCTCTTATTTATCCTTAAAGGGGATATAGGTATTATTTTAGTAGGTAATTAGTTTATATTTAGGTTTATTAGTAGACTTCTACATCTACTAGTTCTTTTTAAGTATAGTAATATATTAGAATAGCTATTAGATTTCCTTATTAGATATCTAGTAAGGCCTTATAGCTATAGAAGAGGATTTACTTCTCTTAGGAGGTATATTATTTATATTCTCCTATTATTTAGTTAATATATTACTAAGGGGTTCCTATAGTTAAGGTAGAGATATAGGAATAACCTTCCTTAGTATATTAATATTAGTAGGTATTATAACTAATACTTAGGTAGTTAAAGAAGAAGGATTAGAAATTATAAGAATAATCTACTAGATAGGGTAGATAAGCCTATTAACTAGATAAGCCTCTTAGAAATGATAAAGGATAGGGTACTTAGTTAGAATAGTATAGTAGAATAGTAGATTTATTAATAATAAAACTAATCCTTATCTTCCTAACCTGTTAGACAAGGGGGTCTATATATATCTTTATTACTAATATATTATGTTTATGGTAGTCTTTCGCAAGCATCTTAAGGTATGAAAATAGGTAATTAAAAATAGTATGCTTAACATAGCCATCTGTAAGCATAATATGGATCAAGGGAAAATGATACAGAAGCTATACTCAATCTATTACACTAGGTAGGCGGCGTAGGCCCCCTGTACATTAGTCACTAGTAGACTGGCTGTGGGTTGAATATGGGTATACCCACAGCATATTTTATCCAACCCACATGGGTTTTAGGTAACCCATTAGGTATCTCACCCACCCTCATATCCATGTGGGTTGGGTGGTGGATATCCATAGATATCTATACTATCTAGTTAGGTGACCTCTAGTATTCAGATTTCCACCTCTTTTTCTAGTATTCTAGCCACACTACTAAGATATCTATATATTTTATTAAGTAATATAATAGTGAATTATATAAATATTATATATTACCTATTATATAAGCTTAAATATACTTATATAGGGGGGTAGAGGTACCTCCTAAGCTTAGGTTAAAAGATGGTGCAGAGATATATATATCTTACTACCACTATCCTAACTACTATCCTCTAAAATCTAAAAACTACTATAACTTTAGCATTTCTTAGTAGATCTAATATTTATTTTATATATAGATAGATATAACTATTCTCTATCTATATATATAAAAATATCCCTCTATCTAGGCCTAGATCTAGCTAGATAAGCTTATCAGTTTAAGAGACCCTAGATCACGTGCACCTAAGTTGAACCCAATGGTTAACCCATATCCATGTGGGTACAGCAGGTTCAACCCATATCCACGTGGGTTTGGGTGGGTTGGGTGTGGATTTGTGGGTTGGGTAAKCCAGTCTAAGTAAGATAGTGACGACTCACTAGCTTTCCTGCAGTACCAATGTGACAGACCATGCAGCAATAGAGGGCGCAAAAATTATATGAGAGTTGTACTTCTGTGTTTTGCATAAAAATATATCGCCTGAGGACAGCTAACGCAATTAGTCCCTCCCTCCCATCTTCAAGCGACCGGGGTTCCAAAGGGCAAAAAGAGAAGGGTGTTCTACGACAGCTTGGTCATGTACTAGACCAACGCATCTTCCATCTTCCGTTACAACTCCCGCCTTGAGTCCAGCCCATATTTTGTGTCCACTTTCGAATTCAACGTGCATCGTTTGTTGTGACCCTCACCACCTGCTGCTGAGTACACACCTCCTGCTTCATTGAAGCCCCAAGTAAATGTGATAGTTCTTTACTATTGTTTTGTTTCTCATCCAACCCGCCATGGATGTCCTGCCTCCGCCAGACTACCCTCCTGTCAAGCCGAGCGAGTACCCTCAAATTCTAACTCAAACGCCACCAGCGACTCTTGAAACATTGCATACTTCAGGCGTCAGTGGTGACATCCAGAAATTTCGGGAAATTCTTGACTCACACAGTTCTTCATCGGAGGTCTTTGATATATGCGACTTGTACGCGATAATGATCGAAGCCATCAAACAAGACGATGCGCAGTTTATCAAGGAGCTTCTTGATCGCGGCTTGCCCATGGATCCACTCTATGCATTGGAAGCCGTTAAAGTGAAGGGAAAGGATGCTCTGAAAGTTTTCCTTCAAAATGGATGGGATATCAATCAGCCCATGAGCGAGCTTAAACCTCCCGTACTAGGGTGAGACTCATCATCTTAATAATCTTCACAATGTCACAGGGATAGCATTATGACATTTCTTCAGTTATACTGTTGAAGATGAGGAGATGGCTTCTTGGCTCATTGATCATGGAGCAGATCCTAACCGTCAATGTGTTATTGACCTCACTCCATTCTCCTTTGCTGTCGAAAGCGCCCCCATATCCGTGATCCACCTCATTCTCAGCCAAGGCGGAGATGTTCAAAAAGGCCAGCTTCTTCATCATGCAATCGAACGTCGGTCGGATACCATCGAGGTCTTACGGCTTCTCATCGAAAAAGGAGCGCCTATCAATGCAACTATGTACAAGAACCATTATCCTTCTTGGGCGTTATTCCAGTTTATGGGTCTCAAAACGGCTCTGCACAAAGCCTCTGAACTCGGCAAAGCTGACGTGGTGCACTACTTGATCGGCGAAGGTGCCGATCAGAGTATTAAAGATGGAAATGGCCGTACACCTATGGAGTGTGCGCAAATGTCGAGCCAATGGGAAGTCATCGAGGCATTGAAGAAAGGGCGGTAGCTTGTCTGTTCCGTATTCATGCTACGTGCTTTTCGGTACCTGTCTTCCCGGGGGTTTAAATGATCTGGTCCATGTACTCATTGTCGTCCGTTTTGCATCAATGTGCCACGTTACCAAAAACCAGTAACTACAATATTAATCAATGTCATCTGAGCGCAGTGGTACGCAATATTAGTATGTATATTTGTCCCTGGGGCCCACAATGCAATAGCTAAGGCTTGATCATGGTGAAACTTCAACAGTGCCCCTGTTGGTTGCTATCTGTGTCTATTTTTATTACTAGATTTATTTCTTTTTACCCAATTTTTTTACTCCGTATAGTTGCCGCATTAACGACTGAAACAGGTTATTGCGAGAGAAAAGGAAGTGCTTATTATAATCAACTAATATGGATAGAGGGAAACCTCTACAGAAAAAGAAGGCGATGATATCGTCTAAGTTGCTACGCTAGAAATAGGAATGTGTTTGCTTTGGCTCTAAGAGTAGCAGATCATCAACCTCTTTGGGTAAGCCCTAGAATTGTTTAAAAGACTTCGTCTTTGACAATCTGGTAAAAAGCTCGCTGACTGTCCCAGTATGAGTCATCGAACCCTGGACGTGCAGACACTTTAATCCTCCATGTCCTGAAGACTTTGTTGCTGTCTACACCTGACTAGATGGATATATCCATATCCGCAGTCCACGACCAGTCTACTTAGTACCTTGGGACTCAATCAAAGCCTCATCTGACCTGCCCAATCAGTTTCGTCCCGTATGCGCCGTGATACGCTCTGGTCCATACTCAGCTCCTTGATGCGCTCGCGTTCGATCGGACGTCCCAAACATGGAACGATGCCTACTTCGGCTAGAAAGCGAAACACATATATCTCTCTCTAGGAACGCCTGAAGCAGGATAATTCACTAAAAGTTTATTAATAGGTACTAAAATCTTCTTGAAATTTCATTGAAAATTTGGCAAAAAGTAACCAACCTCGGAGGCCAGAAATGACCAGGCCGGCAACAGTGCACCAGATGTAAATCCCAAATCTTCTATTGGCAAATATACCAAGATCAGCAACCAAGGTATTCTCTACCTTCACTTTGACAAAAGTCAAGACCAGAGTATGGCTGGCTTAGGATTTTCCCCCTGCTCCTGCCCTAAGCTTCTATCTCCTAATAAGCAATGGGACGCGCTTCATGAGGTCTATAAAGCTAGCAGCCTTGTCCTAGATACTCACCGCAATTTAGCACAGACTGATTGAGACTTTCATTAACCCATCCTTTTTCATGATTACTGCGGCATGGCTTGGTATAGAGCCTTACTTCAGTGCATGCCATGGTGCCAGATTGGCCAGATGCTCTTGGGGTATAATAGCACCCGTAGAGCTAGATAGAGTGAAGAGGACCTACCTTTATTAACCAATAAGATGCCTACTTCTGAAGAAATAATAATTGTAAGTACTGTCTCTGAGGTTACTTCTAGCTGTCTAATCACTACTTTGGGCAGTCCATCTCCACGAAATACATCAATGGGGAGATTGTCATGACCCAGATGGTCATGGAGACCAAGTGCATTGATGACCAAGAACACTGCCGTACCAGTGACTCTGATAGTATTTCTGATCAGAGTATAATTATTGAAGAAAATAATGTAAAGGCTCTAGAAGAACCTGAACTCTTTGCTGTTCGCTCTTTGTATATTGATCTATCTACTGGTAAATTGGTGGTTGAGTTCTTCTACAGCATCACTCTATAATTGGGTGATCTTGAGATAAGAGGCATGAAATTGTGTGTTCTGGAGTCAAGGGGTCATATTATTGAGGCGCTCTTTTGCTACAGAGGAGTTGATCATTGGGTATATGTCCCTTATTAGTATGCTAAAGCTTGAATGATTGCTGTTATTTCTTCGTCTTATTTGCGGAGCGGGCCAGCAGCTGATAGACTTCGGTCACTTTCCCTCCCTGCATAACTGACATCGAACAACTTATATCAAGTTGCATTGGCTTGCTTACAATTAATCAGGAGTCCAACTCACTCAGGTTCTTTCATACACCACTAAGGATACTTTGAGCGGAAGTTAGATCAGTGGTTTCTGGATATCTATTATATTATTGCCAGCACTTGCCTTTCATACAATCGCTCAAGACACAACATCAAGGACATCAGTGGAAAATTATACGATCTCTTGATAATAAACAACGGAGATTCCGATGGCATCTCTGCCACTTGTGATGCGTGTCTTCGATTTGCCCTGGTTTCTTCTCTCACAAAAATCGCGCTTCCTATTTTAAAAATCCCTCCACTAACTCTAATAAGCAACACCTCGCCAACGCACACTAATTAGAGGAATTGGCTCAGACTGCAGACTGGACTGCACAAGAGCTATTTCATACATATCATACCCTTTTATACCCCCTAGGCCGCGTGTTTTATCGCTTTGCAGGGGACAGTCGCCGGACGCAGAAACGGGAGGTCCAACTAGGGCATCAGCATCGGACTCAAATTCGAATGAGACGATGCGTTGAGAGCCGGTCGATCATAGAACCGTTTCACACATTGACAGCTTGGAAGGCCTTGTGCCCGGGGTAGGGGTGTCCATTTTCTCAGAACACAGAGCTCGAGGGAGTATGTCACCTAGGCCGCTGCCGCTTTGTAGGTAGGTTTTCCGGGAGCGGACGGCCATTGCAGAGAATATGTGGAGCTCTGGGGCGAAGGTGTGCTGAGTACAGAGAAACTATGGGGCCGTCTATGACTTACAACAACTGGCAGGTTCACAGACAGTGGGAGTGAACGGTTAACAGAGCACAAGGAGGACCGAATTGCTATCACACAGTACGTTTGCAAGCATCAAGTCGAAGCCCTCTATTAAGCAAGGGATTCAACAGCTGGAAGAGAACCTAGTGTATAAACTAATTTAAGTAACGGCCGCCGCAAGAGCTTTCGCAATCAGCTTCTCACCGAGTGACGTCAAACTCGAAGCATTGGTGATCTCCAGTGTCGAAAGCTCTGCACCTAACGTAGTGTGCGCCCAGTTGCGGAACTCCACCGCCGCCAGTGAATCCAAACCATAGAGGCTCATGGGGCGACTAGGATCCATAGGTTCTGCTAGCCGAAGAAGCTTGCCGAACTTGGCATTTGCAATCCTCACTGCAGTAGGGAGCAGTGAATTTGCGTGTGACGTCTTACTCTGAAGGGCCCGGAGGAGAGTCTGCAGTTCTCTGTCGTCATTGTCAAATCAGGTTCTCGACCTGCATTCATCTTGGCCGCTAAGTATGTGCAGGCCTGAAAACCGGGCGTCCCGCAGTATTCCCGCGTCGCTGGGGATTGGAATGCGAATGCCAGTAACCATTTGACTCGCACTGAGCGGGTTGGGTTGCCGAGTAGAATCCTTCTCCTGCTGATATGTAACGAGTTCAAAAATCTGTAGAAGCCTGGCTTCATTAATGGGAGCCCAAGTGTCCGCATTCCGAGTCAGCTGCTTATGCACATTGTCGTGCTCGGCAAGGTATCCAATGCCCTCCACGCTGCCCAGATCGACCGAGCAGGCGGGGCAGTCCAAGACTGCGCCTGTAAACTGCCAATGAATCTAAAAATGTATTTGCACCCGAGTAGTTAGCCTGGCCTTTCTGGCCAACGATTCCGGAGATTGAGGACAACATGGTGAAGAATGACAGTGGCATGTTGAGCTCCACTGAGACTTTATGCAGATTCCAAGTTCCTTGGACTTTGCAAGAGGGCGCTTCGTGGTACTCTTGATGTGTTATTGAGCTGAACATGCGGTCCTGTGACACATATTAGAGAATGATCAACATATGTGCACAGGGCCAGAAGGCTTACCCTCAACACCATCGCCCCTTGCACAATTCCCCCAATGGGCGGAGTGACCGTCGCAAAGCAGCGACGTACGTCACCCGTGAGCAAGCTGATTTTACATCCCTGGGCTTCAATGTCCCGGATGACCGTCTGCGATCTGTCGTCCTGGTAGCCGCTACGAGTGATAACGGCTAGATGTTTGGCATCGTTTTTGGCAAGCCAGACAGCCAAGTTTCCCCAGAGTCCTTTGAGGCCACCAACCAGTAGATACGAAACACCAGCATCCAAGCATTGCGCCAAACTTCGCTTAAGTGGATGAACCTGAGGGGTGGTCAATGTAGTGTAAGCAAACTGGCGTCTCTGCGAACACTTACTGGAACGTGAGTGCTGTTCTCCTGACTACCATTGGAAATCACTAATTTCCCGATATGTTTCCCGCTCCCGAGTAATCGAAACGCCTCCCGAATTTCTTTGACCGGAACAATTTTGATGGGTTCGATAGGCCGTGGAGATCAAACTGTATAAGGTTAAACCGCTATTGTCGAATTTCCCCACTCCCAGTGCGACAGGGTCACCTGTAGATCTTCGAAAGATTCAAATGTATGTATGAACAGGATCAATCTAAATCTCAAAAATAGCCCAGGCCTCTACGATGTCTGGTCAATTATGATGTTGTGTACCAATTCGTTCTAGAATTCCCCTAATGAGGCAACCTTTGCCAAGAGCAATAGATGGCCACGTGTGGCACCAATCAGGGTTATGCCTCAGGTATTCGAGACGACCTGGTTTCGTTTCACTTGCTTGCCGCCCAATTTGCAAGCCCCATAGACCATATACTATTCAAGATACACCTCAACCCCATAAACAGCCGGGAAAATGGGCGAGTTCATGCCCAAGTTCCTCAACGCGGAGATCGGCCATCTGGTTTCAAAGCGATCGAGGAGTTGGGATGGAAGCCCAAGGAGCCGAATATCCTGGACGAGATCCAGATGGGTTCGCATCAAGTGGTTTCGGAGGGGTTGTGGAGATGTTGGCGTATACCACCGCTCAATGACACGCTGCGTACTGGCCGCAGTAGTATCTCTATCTTCTCTATCTTTTCAAGGCACGTAGCCTGGGCCGTCACAACTACGTTCGCCTATAGCGCTTCTGCAAAAACTAATTGCATTTCATAGATATATTGCCATATGCTCAGGAGTGAAATGTGGAAAGGAATAGATAGGTTCAAGGAATGACAAAGAACAACAAAGAACGACAAAGAAGGAATGTAATTGAAGAACACTGAAAACATGAGGCTTGGAATGGTCCATCTTCTTCAACCCGTGCGCTCACATAAGCTGCTCACTACCTTAGGCATACGGCTTGCGCTTCTCAGGATAGCTGAACTCTGGTTTAGAGTAACTCCCGTCGTCGTTATGAGTGATCGTCGCGATGGTCTGGCCTGGTTTGGCCGTGGTGAAATCGATTGTTGAAATTTCGCCAATCTGAGTAACATCTACCGTTTCGCCAGCTCTATAATCCCCTGTGCTGACATAATAGGTGACTTTAGGAGTGAGTATGTATTTTTCGCCGGGCTCGGCTCGCCAAACAGCGACAGGGACAACTTCCTCCTTTTGGTTGAGCTTGCCGAATCCGCAATAAACAGAGGCTGCATATGGACAGTCACATACTTGTACCTGTTGTGGGGAGAAAGGGTCAAGACTCACTGTATCTTTTCGGGTCGTAATTCTTAACATGGATACCAAACGAGTTATCCTTGTTGGTTTCCTCATATGGCGCAATGAACTGAGGTCCTCCGCTCACAATTTCCATCAAGGGAACCGTGCCCTTCTTGCTTTGAGTGGTAAGCTCCACCGGCGCGAAATCGCTTGTCGCGACAACAACACCATAGTCGACTGGGTCTGGCGTCGTCCCACAAATGGCAAAGTTCGCCACCTTCACATCGAAGACAGCTTTGCCACGGGGAGATGGAACTCCGGGAGATCTGATCCAAACGTTGGTGTATATCTGTCCAACGGTGCTAGACTCTCCGGGCTCTTGGTTGAAAAAAAGATAATTGTTTGTCTTCCCCGTCTTGTTTTGGACGGTGATGATATATTCAGCAGTGGTCATTGTGAAAAGGAAATGTTGATACCAACAACTCTTACTTTCGATCTGCAAAAAGAGGAAGTATGATTGGCTCGGGAAGAGAATAGGTCTGGCAGGTCGATGGAGAGTAAAGCGATGTTTGGAACCCCTTCTGTAGTCTGGAAACTCAAGCTCGTATTTATACCTGTTGGTAAGAGCTGCTTAAAGTAGTTTATTAACCTGGGTGATTCTGAACCCATGGGAAGATGTGCGCCAGATCATGCTATGGACACATCACCCATCACCCATTCCAATGATAGGCCTGCTGCACTCATCAGGCAGATGACCAACGCATAAATAACTCACATTATCACATCTCCACACATTATAGTGCTTTGGAATAGCGACACCCTTATCGCTTCTTGACTCCAGACTTAATGACGTGGACCTATACTCACATCACCGGAACCTGAAAATAGCACTAAATTAGGTAACTAGGTATCATTTTAAGCAGGCCTTTGTTTTCTTCTACCCTCCCTCTCCATGTAGCATGCGTAAGAGGACTACTAAGTGGCTTCTACAGGTTGCACAAGCGCTGAATATTAGGAATTATTCTGCTCATTGGATTTGAATATCATGCATGCATCTTGATGTAGGAAGAGGGAGTATCAGAGGCTCGGTAAGCTCTCCAAGCCAAAGGTTCACATGTGCAGCCTGAATATGCAACTAGTTGTCACACAGTATGTAAGTTCCACTGTTGCCAGATTCGGGGTGAGTTGAAGACGGAGAGAGGTGATCGGCAGTCCCTGCTCAGCTATTTTAGAGTACTTTTGTATAATGTTACAGTTATTTTGCTGCTATTCTGCTCTGCACTTTTCAGCATCACTTCCAGGCTACCAGGCGACATTTTCTTTTTGGAATATTTCGTGAACAATCTCTTTACTCGAATGTGCATCCTGCACACTCTGTCTCCTTCACGATGGCTTTGATCCCTGACCTAACAACCTTGAAATTGACCTATTGAGAGGGCTGATCTCCGGCGTCAAATTGGGCAGAAATTCGAACTCCGGAAGCTGGAGTGTCTTTTGAGGGTTCGAGTATAGGGTCTCGGTGTGACTTGTACAGTGAGCACTTCTCTTCTTGCATGTTGAAATTGCGTGGCGATTGCTGGGTTGACTTTTTTAGGGACTATTTTCTATAGCGTATCGTCGATGCACTCAAACAGCATACTCTGTTAGAAAATATTACATTGGAAGGGAGATTACATGATTCTGGCCCTCACGATTCTATCATTATGAGATGATCGGGACTGTGTGTCAATCAAGGAAGCCCTTAACAGCGGCACAAATGGATTAATAACTTTGCGTCTTCTGTCTAACAGGCAACCACGTACATAAGGCCATCTATTTGCAGATATGGCTCAGGTCAGCAAGTATACCCGTATGCATCATGTATGCCTCGGACAGAGACATGGCGCAGGAAAGGAAAACAAGAACTGTCATTGCCCTTACTCTTCAGCTTTACCCAAGTGAAGATATTGCTAAGGTTTTCTAGACGCCAAGGGTGTTTCTGCAACACCACGCAATAAGTATCACCAGTTGTGCAAAGTGATGTGGAGACCTGAGCATTGTGGCTGGCTGAAAAATCGTGATGAAACTTGCAGGGTTTCTGCTGCACCGTAGTTTTGTACTACCGTCCAACTAGTTGCCTACGAACGACAGCTGCCTGCAGTAATACGGAGTACTCAGTAGTCCAAGTTCAGCTAAGCCATGTCGATCTTAAAATCACAATTGAAATCCCAAATCGAGGGCCAGACCCCATCTTAATCCGTAGCCAAGGAATCAGAATCATGTGGAGAGGCATCTCCAGACGAGCTGGACGGCTGCACGGCAAGATTTCATGAGACTCAGACTCCTCAGTCCACTCTGGTGCATTAGTTTACTGTACATTGGGATATCAGGATATATTATGACGCCTTGTGGACCCTTGCTCGCGTAGTAGTAGTCTGTGCATACTCCACCTATCCATGACATGTCAAAAAATCAACATTCTTTTCAAATTTCAACCACCCCCTAATTCCATTAAAATGAGGTCTTTTGGGACTAAAATTAGTAGAAATAGAAGGCCTAAAGCTAAACTATCATCTAAATCACACATAGCTATTTTATATAGTCTAGAGAACTAGGGATTACCTATATAATTAGTAAAGAAATTTAGTATTAGTTACTGCACTATTTATAATACTAAGAAATACTATAAATAGTACTAAACCTTAAGATTAAGGCCTTGCACTAGTTGACCTTATAAGCTTAGTACCTCTACTAAGTATTATATTTACTAAATAGTCTAGTAGAGGCCCTCTATAAGCTAGAAGGCCCTGGTTACTAGCACCCCAGGGGGGTTACCGCCAACACTCCCCACAGTGTTTAGAGACTAAAGACTCGGGCCGCTTCCGGGCAGCCGAAAGTTTATTATATGCAGGCTTAGACCGCCAAGCCTCATGATCATGCACCCTCTGCTGTCCCTCCCCATGCTTGTGACTGTCATGGTCTGCGCAGACGCGCTCGCACCCCCAACAGGTTCAGGCAGCCACTTGCGGGTCCTAAAACCCTAACATAACGGATCAGAAAATACCCTCCTTGTCATAACGTGACCAGCAAGCGAGCCGATCAGCCCACCCGCAGTTTTTTGGCCATGGTTCAAAAAAGAAGCCATATTCAACGCCTAAATAACTTGTATACAAATCGTCTCTACTTGTGAAGCTATGTACGTTTTAACCTCCAGTTTCTCTTCCTTGGCCTTGATATTCTGATCATGTACCGGCTGTTGCTCCTGATTCTCCATTCTGGGGTCTCGTGTTTGAGCCCTAGGACGAACGCTACGCAACGTCTGCTACCAGAGCCTGTACGAGGACTTCTTGGGGAACTGTAAAAGCGGACAGGGAATATGCATCCTTGTGGTACTGTAGATCACCTCTGAGCAATCTGTAGGCTCCACCTACAGGTGTCAATCATGAGCTCTGACCCCACTCCAAAGTCGATGCATTTATCAGTTTTAGGGTTGATCATCACTAGGATGAGATATAGCATCACCTCAGAGAAAGGTCGCCACTTTCCAAATGGTGCTTTTAATCCAAGTAGTGCTGCTGTACGTCAATGACCCTTATCTTTTGGTAATAGATGGTAGGTGACGTTGCACCTGAAACAAGGTCTTCCAGTGGGCACTCCTGCGAGATAAGGGATGAATGGCCCATTCCTCCTAGGGGGGCACCTAAGTTACCATATGTGCGTCAGGGTTTCCGCTGCATTGAGGCCTAAAGATCACAGGTTCCAATCAAAAAGATTGATCCAGTTGGAATCCGCAAAGATTTCAATATTAGATGTACCCAGGGCTGCCTGGACGGTGACTGTTAGTTGTCTTGCTATGGGGTTTTCTCCTTTCATCTGTTAGGCATCTCCCATAGCTTTATGCAAATGTAAAGACATTCCACTGTCCAGGTATGATCTTTTAATTTCATTTTCTCTTTTGCTGGATATGTAGGAAAATAATTCCTAGTATATTTTATCACTAGAACATCTGGGCTCTAAGGATAGTCCAAGGCAGTGAGTGTGGTTGAAAGGATACACTCAAAGTGGAATGCTACATTACATACGCTACACAATCAGTATCTATTATTATGATTCATTACTATGCTCCAATTTCTACTCAAAACCGTACTTAAGTCTACTAATCAATTGGTTTTTTAGTCCTGTCTCATTTCAATTCTCTGTATGTGAAAAATCGGGGTATCTTACTAACCCCCCCTAATGTGTATTTTGAACATTGAGGTTGAACAGGATCAAGCCACAGAGGATGGCGTGCTGCGAGAAGAGTGCATCCTTTTCAGGTAGGAAGTTAATTCTGTTGAGTTTAGACCAGACTTGAATATCTAGGAACAGATTATGTATGATCCATGACTTTACTATTGACCCTATATTTTGAATCTCCTTATCACCCTCTTTTGTCCAAAACTTGGGCTGAGGGTGTGTTCTTAATAATTATAAGTATAACTCTATAAGGTATAGTGATTTTATCATTAGCTATAGGCCCTAGGAGGTCGATGAAATATTACAAGTTTTGTGTTTGGCCACGCACTCGAGATGGATGTATTTTTGAGAACAAACCTAGGTATCCATCTAATATGTGATACTCTATTTCAGTCAATCAAATCTACTCATCGTGATCTATCGCAGGATACGGGGGTCGGAAGGAAGTTCGGCTCGTGGGGTTGCTAGTGTATCAGAGAAACTGTGACCTGGAACTGACCATATTTTGCTAAACCCAACTTAGATGACTTTTAAAATTACGATGACTTGTTCTAGAGCGTCCATTACTTCTTCAAACGTCATATTGATATGACTTGAAGTAGACTTTAAACTTGGCTCAACGTCTCTGAATTCGAATTCCAGTACTATGATACACCAGGAGGGGAGGGACAGCCACAGTAAGCGGTGGTGAGAAGCAGGAAAACAATGCAATGGGACTGCTACAAGAGCCATTTGGACCGGATGAATGACTATTCCTCCGAGAGTTTACCAGGAAATCATACCATGCAGCTACCGGCGAATAGGCGACATAAGTCCGGATTCACCGTCAGACACTGACTATCGGAATGGGACGAAAAAGAAGTATACCAAGCGCAGGTTGACTTGGTATACTGTTGATGAACGAGATGAACAAACTTTGATCGGCAATAATCTAAGCTGTTCTTGGCTGTCTTAGCTCATTCTCAGCTGCTCCAGCTGAGGGAGATCCGAGGCATTCATGGCACGTGCAAGGCGAGATGGCTAAGACATGATATGTCCAGCTGCAAGAAAAAGGAGTAAGCCATTATGCCAGCATTACCAAAGAAATCCATTTCTCGAGGAGTTGCATAGGGAAGGATACGGAAGATCTACTATTACTCTCTTTTCAGAACAGATGTGTTGCCCTCTGTCCATGTAGTTCTGGCTGTACGGAGTACGGGGGATATGTATTCCCCCTCCCCCTATCCCGTATACGTTAGG